TAAGAGCTTTGCTAAAATAAGCAATTGGTTGTTGTTTTTGCATTAAGACGGCTCCAATACCCGTACCCGAGGCATCGCATTCCACCACAAATGGCAACTGAAAATCCGGAAAGACCAAAACCGGAGCCGAGATCAAAGCCAGTTTAAGAGCTTCAAAGGCTGTCTGGGCAGCCGCCGTCCATTGAAATGAGTCTTTCTKTGTGAGGTCCGTAAGAGGTTWGGCGATGCTACCGTAATGGCGAACGAATTTACGGTAATACCCGGTGAGGCCGAGAAAACCCCTTAGGCCCTTGAGTTGTTTGGGTACCGGCCATGTAACAATCGCCTCGATTTTCTTTGGATCCATAGCCACCCCCTTGTTGCTAATAATATGCCCTAAATACTCAAGTGATTGTTGACCAAAGGAACACTTTTTTTTTATTAACCACGAAAGAGTGATCTTGTAAAATCTGGAATACGGTACGAAGATCAGTGAGATGTTGAGACCACGAGGGACTATAAACCAAGATATCGTAAAAAAAAAACCACGACACAAGTACGTAACCAAGGGCGGAAAATATCGTTCATCACGGCTTGAAAAGTGGCCGGTGCGTTGGTGAGTCCAAAGGGCATGACCAAGTATTCGTAATGCCCATCGTGGGTGCGAAAAGCAGTTTTATCAATGCTGTCGGGCGTCATACGGATCTGATTGTAACCCGAYTTTAAGTCCAATTTTGAAAAAAACTGTGCCCCCTGTAATTCATCAATAAGTTCATCCACTACCGGAATGGGAAATTTATCCGGTACCGTAGCCTTATTTAAGGCACGGTAATCAACACACATGCGCCAGGACTGATCTTTTTTTTTTAAACCAAAATCACGGGACTTGAAAAGGCACTTTTACTTGGTCTGATCATTCCTAAACGTAACAGTTCCCGTACTTGACTCTCGATTTCTGSCTTTTGAATATGCGGATAACGATAAGGACGTACACAAATAGGAGTGGGAGATATAAGGGAAATACGATGATCGTGCGGGCGTTCGGGTGGCAAGCTGGAAGGTTCTTGGAAGATAGCCTCGAAGAGATTGAAAAGAGTGTCTAGATCACTGAATTGRGCCGCTGATAACACCTCATTAACGGTGGTGTGGTGAGCTGACTTTTCTGCTGTTAATAGAGAAGACGATGTGACTAACGACGACAACCACCCTTGTAACGAATACGACGAGACTTRGGTGTCGGTTAAGCCTTTAAGAAAGACCGAAACACCCCGATACATGAATCGCATGGACGGATGGTCCCAATTATGCACTACGTCCCCTAACGTTTTAAGCCATTCGATTCCCAAAACCATATCCAATCGACCCACATCGAACACTAAGGCAGAAATGTCAAAAGCACAATTTCCGACCAAAACCTCTAAATTAGGGCAGCGGTGATCAATGAATACCAGATGATTATCCCCCAATTGGATATTGATACCCGAAAAACAATGAGTGCTCWATCCCAAAGCTGTCACGACTTTCCGAGAGACGAAATTATGGGTCGCACCACTATCGATTAAAATGACCACTGGAATTCCGCCTATTTGTCCTTCGACTTTTAAGGTAGATCCCCCACCCATAGAATTAGCCGTGGCGGCGAGGAACTCCAAAGCATTACACGTACCCGTTGGGAGGTCTGGATTGTCAGGAGGACTGTCCAGAGTTAAATCAGCTATCGGAAGATCCGCATCTTCATTTTCCGCCTCCTCATCACCTAGGAGAAGGATATGTAACCTTCCTTCGGGGCATTTATGACCAGGTCCGAACTGTTGACCACATCGGAAGCAAAGCCCTTTTTTCCGGCGGTCTTCCCATTTCGTACGGGTGAGTGAACGAACTCCTTTTTGTCGAATACCCCCAAAAGGAATACCYGGCGTACGAGTTGCCCCAGAAGAACGAGACCCAAAAACGGACRGCCGATCACCGCTGGGCTCAGAGAATGGGCCTTTAAAGTCTGAGCGGCCCACTGGCGAAGCCCTCCCAGTAAGAGGCGGCCCAGGAGAGAAACCAGGCCCCGGATGATAACGAAAACGGGAAAGGGAGAGATTCCCAGAAGACGGTCGAAGCATTTCCTCKACATCTTTTGCAAGATACATGGCGTCCAATCGGGACTGAGGCCGGTGAAGGCGGACCCACCGTTTAACCTCCTCCCGTAAACCCGCGATGAAATAGCCCAACGCCTGCGATTCCGGCAATCGGGGAACCAGCGATAACAAATACTCGAAGTCATCGATGTAATCGTGAATAGAGTTTACCTGTTGAATCGTTGCCAACTGTTCATACRGATTCTGAATCACGAGACCGCTAAAACGTTGCAATAATTCGCGAGTGAATTGTTCCCACGAGAGAGGATCGTAGAGTTGATGAACAATCGTGAACCAGTGCTGTGCAACACCCACCATGCTCATTTGAGCCAAACGAATGCGCAGATGGGAAGGAGTCTCATGGATATCGAAATACAGTTCCGCTCGTTTAATCCACCCCTGAGGATCGAAGCCCTGAAATTCCGGCAATTCGACCTTCTTAGCTGCCCACGGTGGGTCGGAATTAGGCAACAGAGATCCCCCAGGTACGTACGAAGGACCGCCACCCGGAGATTGGCCGGACGGATGCGACGAAAATTCGCCCAAACCCGCTGGAGGGTGAACCGGAGTAGCACCGGCTAAGCCCGAACCCCCAGCAACATCAGAATCAGAGACTTTACCTTGCTGTTTTACCCAAGAGAGAACGAGGGTACGGAATTCCTCCTCCTGAGAATGATCAGCCTCCCATGCGTGCAACGAAGTCTTGATCGATTGAACATCAGCTTGAAGGAGCTGCAGTTGCTCCTCATATTGATCTAATCGCACATGTTGGGACCGTGTTTCCGGCGGCGGCATGGAAGGCGGCAGGTCGGACCAATGTTACAATTCAGAAATTAATGAAGAAAGGTAACAGATGATTAAGGGAGAAAGTCGGATGTATGGAATTGAAATGATAAGAAAAGGAAATACAAGAACAAAATATCCAGGGAGAATTCCCTCTCTCCAGCTAACGCTAGGAGCCTCTAACAAATTAGACAAATAACAGAATGCCCTCTCCTTTCCCCCATGTGCCTTTATTTAAAGATTCTCTCTAACCAACCCAATTTAGCCACTTTCCTTTTCTACCCTTTTACCCCTTCTAGAATATACTTTAGTAATACTTGGTTTGGGTAGATTATGACCCATGATAACTGGATCCGTATCACGTGTTGACTGAAGGCTTGAAGTTTTAGGAGAGATTGGTGTTGTTGTTCAAGATTAAAGATATAAGAGGCGCAAATTGTAATTTCTGTTCCAATATCGCCAATGACTGTCACTTGGTTTTTGTTTTCTTAAATTTCAGAATTGAGCCAAATCCTCAGAAGTTCAGTCAATTTGAATTTTGAGCATCTTATGAAACAACTGACGTTCTTTAATAATCATAAGCTCAGATGCATTACTGATGCCTAGGTGGACATCATCTTGCCCTCCACCTCTCGATCTGTCATACCCGTTTTTGTTATCTGTAACTTTGATGCCATGCCATGCTTTAGACCCTAATATTCTCTTTTTTGGTGTATACTTGTCAATTAATTCACAGACTGGATGGCTTTTAGCAGATTCTGTACGCACAAATATTATTGACACCCCCTTTTTGTCGAATGCGCCTCCTCCTTTCATTACCAGCAGCACCACCTGACCTGGCATACCACCACCCCTCTTGTTTTCCCAACCCTCTCACCCCATTCATTCTGACACCACCTTCATTTCACCACCACTGCCAATGTTCTCCCTTGGTTTCTCTTCTTTATCTCTCAGATCATGGTGGAATTATCAACTTTCATGGATTGAACTTTGAGAGAAATAAGGTTTGGATGAAATTTAAAGAGGGACAGGATTGGGGTTAAATTTTGAGTATTTTACGCATAAAAAGCAGTAAATATGCATAAAGTGCCATATCATGTTTTAAAAGGGAACTATGGGGAGCAATGACATGTCAAAAAATGTGAAACCCATGATTATTCTTGTATCGGAGATTGGAACAGCATCGAGCAATGGGAGATCATCTGTAGTATGAAGTGGTTTTTTGTTTTATATTTCTTTCTTTTTAGACAGTACAACTTTACACATGTGCAATATCTGTTTTTGTTATGTATGTTCTTTTAGCTTAAAATTTGAATCTTCCAATTGAGACATCTGATCCTGAAGATGAGAACAGATATCTAAGTGCAACCTGCTTTATATGGTCACATAGTACTTTCTTTGAAAAAACAGATAAGTCAAACCTAGTACGTACCAAGAACACTTAGCTTGGTAAGAAGACTATAGAATAACGTTCGGGATAAATATTGTAATAAAATCTTTTGTCATGCTTATGTTTGGCAAAACCTAAGGTTGAGAACCTGAAATTCTGCATTTGTCTCTTTTTCCGGAACAAAGGCAGTATGTCCTTTTGATCATCTCTCAAGTGGATGCTAATTTGTACATGTGAAAACAGGAATTAAAGTGATTGGGTGAAAGCTATGAGCAAAAGGCTATAAACTTATTTATGTTCTTTCTAGGTGGTGGTTTAACTGTAACTTGCTGATTGTTTTTCAGGTTCTTTCATAACTTATTAAATGCCCTCTAATTTGATAATGTACTGGTTTACAGCTTTGCAGGCACATTTAGTGAAAAGGCAACAAGAACTGTGAGGCAGTTTTCTCCACATTTAGCTGCAAAAATGAGACCTCCACTAACGTGAGCTTCTTTGCTTTAGTTTTATTATAACACATAAATGATACTTTTTCTTATACGATCATATGTAAACTTGCAGGCCTGTTCTTCGTGGGCGCCCTTCCTCTAAGAGGGCAATTTATATATGTGGACGGCCCCGCTGGGCATTTGTTTTTGCGTTCTCTGCTGGTATTGAAAAGCTTTCTCACATTCATCAATTTTCTTTTTCTGGGATAACTTTCTGATATCAAAAGGCTGATCTAGTATTTGTCTATTTGTCCTTTCACAGTGAGTTTCATTCTTTGGTTTGCTTCTTGTGGCCTCTTCACTTTGTTATGGGCAATTGCCCTTGGCGTTCTTGGTATACTTCAATCTTCTTATTCAATGAATAATATGAATTTTCTGTATCAGTATCATGTACTGGTTGCTAACTCCTCTGTTTCTCAGCTACTATCCTGCATGCAAGCTTTCGAACACCTAACCTGAAAGCACGTCTGAATACGTTCCGTGAGGAATTTCGTGCAGTTTGGCGCAATTACAGTGAACTGTAGTCACCGTTCATGTGTGTACTCATAACTCATTCTTTTTGAGCTTTGACCTCACCTGAATGTATTGCATTATGTTCTATGACATATGCATACTACTTTTCATTCCATGCTTTAATGTTCTGATATTTCCCTTCTTTGTGTTCATGCTTATGTTCTTTATTTATGTTTACATTTCGTATTTGGTACTGTCTTACATCTTCCTCTCAAGATTGCATAATATTTACTAAAACTTGTGTATATGCCCTTGTATATTCTCAATAATTTTATAGAACCTTTAAGGTTAGTGATTCTGGTTTATTGAACATTCAACTGTGGGGCATTTTGGTGCTGCTGGTCTGCCAGAAATATGTTAAATATTGTTTGTGTTCAGAAATGATATTTCGAGTCATTTGTTGTTTGGATCGTGTAAATGGTTACAGTCTACCATATAATAATCTTTGAATTGGAACATAAATGGCAATCAACCATTCTGCCAATGTGTTGGTATTTTTTTTCCAGTGAAATTGATCTTCTGATTAAGCCATTTCTTAATATGATCATGTGCCCTTCTACAAGTTGTGATGGTAAGCTATGATCTAAAGAGTTACAATAGTATTTCCAGATTATATAACCACGGGCCTTGAAAGACTAGGGCACTTGCAGATCAAACTAGCAGTCGTTTGTTTTTGCATATCTCGTCCTTGCTTTATTCCTTTCATAGACGTTCTTACGTCATTATCCTTGGATGGTTGTATTAATCTTTGCCCTTTTAGGGACACCTATGAAGAAACATGTTGCAGTATTTTTGAGGCTGGACTTCCTATTGATGCTGCTGTTGCGGAATAATCCTTGTCGTTTGGGCTGCTCAAAAGTACGCTTGCTGTGGGTAATAGTTTTCAAATTACCTGGATCTCTTATCCTTCGATAACATGACATAAAGATATTAGTTGATCAAACCTCCAGTGGGAAAGAAGGGAAAAATTAGTACATGAAATCTGAAATCTTATGTAAAGTCTGCTGGGATTTGAATATTTCGACACATGCTTTAGAAGCTGGTAGTTTCAGCTATAGCGTTTCATAAACGTGTGAATGGATCAAATTTCAAACGTTTTTTTGACTGGTATCATTTCTGATTATATGATGTCGAGTGTTGTATTGAACCATGCATCCTTAATATCGCACAAGATACTGCAACTGATATGGATCCAGTTTTTCTGAACACACTTTGATAACTGATGTTGAGTCGGGGTTGCCGAATATTTAAAACCTGGTTATCAGGTTTTGTCTGAAGGGGAGGCCGGAGGGGACTTTCACCGAACAGATTATCAGCATCAGGCTCATTTGCTTCCACAATAGCATCATTCCAGTATTAATCAGGTTCATTTATCTATTCGTTTTGAGTTCCCTGCATAAGCAAGGGGTCTTCATGAAAACAGCAGCCGCTCTACTTTCGAGTGAGATTTACTGGGTCGGTTTGGTTTGGTTTGTTTTGTTTAAGTTCCTCCGTTTGCAGGGATTGAACACATAAAAAAGTGTTGGTCAGCTGCTTGCTACTAATTATCAGGTAAGAGCACCGAAACCTTTCCCAATGGGGTCAGCGGTCGACTATTTAGTCATTGATCATCTGGGCTATCTGGTTTTGCTTTAGTTTCAATCTTTGCCCCGGTTGTAGGGTTCTAATTTGACATGGGTAGTTTAGTAATTTTCAAAATCACACCGGGGCAAAGATTTGAAGGTTATAAGTCACGTCTTGAAAACGTTGCGAGACTTGACATCACCACCATGCCTCACGTTATTTAGAATCTTGGCTATTATTGTATACCAAAAATACGTTATACACTCGTCTTCTTTTGTACTATTACTATATACTTAAAGAAAGCAAAGGTCCACACGGAATCAACTCTTCTTAACCAACAAACACATAACCAAGGTTCAGAACGCAGATCACGATAATTCACAATCAGATAAACCAAACAAACCCAATATATCCTCCAACTCTTTGAGCAAAATTTGTGTAGAAAACCTTCAAACTGCAAACGAGAGTTACATTACGTATACCACAAATCCTTCCTTCGGTTGGGTTTTATGTACCATAACTTCGGTCTCCTGCATCACCAAGCCCCGGGATAATCATCCTGAAATCACCGTTCCAACACGAGCTTTAGATAACTCTATTATAACACATGATTTCGTATGTTCTGTTTCGTGACTTTACTTACCCTTTGTCGGTAATAGTTGGATCGATGATTCCAGCATATACATGAAGCCTGCGGAAATTGAAAGAAATAAAAACCGTCAATCTTTGAGATAAGTGTGATCAAGTGTCGATATTTTTCGGTTTTAGTCGAGGCGTACCCAGGATACTTCTCACTCAGCTTTTGGAGGGCTGAAGGGCAAGTCACTGCACATACCTATATACATGCCAATCTTTACTAGTAAGTGCAATGTAGGCAAAGAGAAGTAGAAGAAAATTTGCAAATATATCATATAAAGCCAAATGAGCTCGGTATATCCCGCCCGAATACGGGATTTGGGAGATGGCATGTACCCCAAAGAGTAGAGCAGTTGTTTCCAACGATATGATCAGTTGTTTATGTCATTGGCAAATATGTAACCATAACATAAAGGGTTCGGGGAATAAAATATCGTCATTTGATCGGACATCGGAAATGTTGTAATTTTCATGAGACGGAGGAAGTAGAAGATATTGAACGACACGCCATCGGCCACGGGTTTTTTCGTGTGTTATAGAGGTCGAATTTAGAACACTTCCTCTACGTACCACTTTGATATGTTGGTTGTCAACTCCGCGCTCCTTAACCAGGTCGATGGCTGCAACTATCGTTCCGCCTAACGATTATTCAAGTACAAAAAAATTCGTTAAAATGGTAGCGAAAAATAAAATTAATTTATACAAGCAAAAACAAACTTATAGTCTATAATGCTTATATTGAATCTTCAACTTCTTTTAACTCACAAAACAAACCAAACCAAACGAGACTAGTATATATCACACCTAGAGGTGGGGTCCAACAGATAAGATGTACACAGACCTGACCTTTACCGTAAAGAGTAGAACGACCGTTTCCCTGAAGACCCCAACTAACGAGAAGTGTGTGAAAGTGGAAGAACAAATGATCTATGATTTGAAAAGTTAGATACGGCTTTTTACCTGTTGCTAGCATAGGATCGACAACCAACACTCGAGTTCCTTCAGGAAATTTTTCCGGTAACCTGCAAAAGGAACATCAAGAGCTATCGGAAGGGGTGCATTGATCAAACCCGATGATATTTAGAGAAAACGAACAAATATAAAGCTTTTGGCAGATTCGTAATGCACAAAACAGCTTGTAAACATGATGACGATATGTTGAGTAACAATTTATGAAGAACACGATCATATAATAGCCGGTTTAGAACTTACTTGTTCAAATAGACTGTTGGTTGAAGCGTCTCCTCGTCTCTGCTAACCCCTTAATTTAGAAAAAACGTACGATAAGAAAACGAGCAAGAGATGATAACTTCATTGTAGAACTATTGAAAGAAATCATGCATGATTCTTAACGGTTTATATCAACATTATTGAATACGGGTTGATCAAGATTATAGAAACAAAAGAATGTTTCTCTTCTCAAACATTACGATAAAATCGACTTTCTAGGATGTCAATTGTCAAATATGTCTAAATATCCTAATTAGGGGTGTTCACGGTGAGGTTTTGGGCTAAATCGCACCGCTTACACCTCAAACTGCAAAAAACCGCCCGCACCGCAAAAAGCGGTACGGTTTATGCGGTTTGTACCTGACGCACTTTATGCCTACAATCCAATAATTATAAGATTACAACTTCATTATAAAATCAACGATAACGTTACCGTAGTCATATAAAACACCTTTTCAAATAATGTCATATAAAACTAATAATAGTTATTTCAAAAATGTCCAAAAAACTTGTTAGAACGCCCAAAAATGTCCTATCAACTTATTGTAACACTTTTCATTTTGACATATAAAAGCCGATAAACACCAAACAAGAATCGAACATGAGACCTCGTACAGTAGTTACCTAGGTGGTATATCTTGGTTGCCGGTAAGATGGATGACGCATGCTCTGCAAGAGCAAGACCCGCTCTTAAAATGGGAACAACCTGCAAGCAAAGAGCGGCTTATTAGTTAACCAATATACGAGATTAAATAAACTTCTATCGCGACTAGAGGTGAAATTTAGGGTCGGAAAATACGAAACAAGAGGGGGGGTTCATTTAGGAACCTTAAATATTTCAGAACCCGAGAACCACACTTTTTGTGAGTATTCATGATAAATAACCTGATAAAATGTTCATGATGAATGTGGTGACATATATTCACAAAATAGGTGGGTTTTGGGTTCTTAAAATAATTAAGGTTCGAAAATGAACCTGCCCCTACCGAACGACCCCAGAATGAAGTAAAGCGTAGTGAAATAGCGAAAAGATACTGACCGCTACAGGTTCTCGCGGATCAATAAATTCTACTGAAGCAACCCCGAGTGGTGACTGAATCTCCCCTGAAATGGTAGGCTGCAAAAACCGATAAATTGTACTTCATTCAAGATTTCATGTATGCGAAAAGCTAAATCACGAAGGCACAAGTAGGCATCTTGAAATCGACATTTTCACAAATATGTTAAATCGGTCATTATTTTCGAATTAGAATAGTGTGTACCAGCCAATCCCTGGATGCTTCATATATAAGCAGCCTTCCCAATTCAGCCATGGCATTTTCTACAAATAAATTCACAGATGAATAAGAACTTGTATCATAGGTGATTATGCCCTTGTGTTAACAGTATTCACATGTCCATCAATTGACTTGAAACAAAACTCAAGTTCAGAACCAACAAAGGACTGAAAGACCCCTTTTTTTCTTTTCTTTTCATCGGAGGCGATCTAGAGGTATCCGTTACAGAAAAGGTTCCGTATTCACATCAATTCATATAAAACTCGGGCCTAAATCCTACTTGTCCTTGGCCATCGATTGGCCTCAAGAGTCAAGAGCGGACATTATATTTAGGCGGAGTTTTGACAGGTGCTCATAACACGACCTTGAGCCACTAGAAAGCTGCGGTCCACTTGTAAACTTGTTAAATAAAAACGTCCCAAACAAGCGTAAACGAGCCCTAGTGCAAGCGTGAACTCATGAAAACGTAAATGAACATAAAGGGTACTCAAATACACCATCAATTTAGCACCTTGCTTGATATCAAACCTGAAACTGGCAACAAGATCATGTTCATCCAACCAAAGGGCCTTTGACCTAGCGGTATTTGAGTTTTGGCCTCTTAGAGGTTCATACATCACCAACGGTGATGTAGGGTGTGTRAGTTATTTGTTCTGTTTACTGTATATAAATATATTATATACTTCAAAAAACAGATCATGATCATCCAACTGCATGCCACATTCAAGAAACAGAAATGCAGAAACACAATCCAAACAAATTCTTGACACCTTACATCCTCACTTGGATCAAAATTTAAACAAACCAAAAAGAAAGACAAAAAACAAGAAATTTGACAGAAATCCCACAACACGTTACTTACTAAAGATTGGGCATGGTGTTTGCTCGTTTCTAAGCACAGAAACCCAATGTTTGATCAAAGGATGAGGAGGCACAAATACCTACAGAAATTAAAAAAACAAAAAGCAACCCAATTTCGATCAAATTAAGATGGTAATGGATAACAATAACAGAAATCGAAGAAATGGGTGTTTTCTTACCAGCATTCTACTATCCAAGAGAGGTTTCTTTTCAGCTGTAGCTTGCGCCTTCAATGGCATGAAGCTGGTACGTCTAGTAGAGCATGAAAACTGTAAAGTAAAACAAGAATTAGGGTTTAATTTGCAGGAAAAAACAGAAATAGGGATTAAAGAAATGAGGGAAATTGAGAGAGAGATGAAGGGTATACGTTGTTGGAAAGGGAAAGTGAGAAAAAATGGAGTGGGTTGGGGAGAAAAGGAGGTGCCGGCGATGAAAATGAGGGAATAAGAAAAGCAGAAGAAATGGAGGACGAAGCCATCATGGGAGTGTGAGAAGAAATCGGTTTTGGATATTCATGGAGCATCCACTTTTATCAACCATTCTCTTTCATTTTTGTCCATTTTTTCTTCAAAATAATTTTAACTTACATTTAATAATAATAATAATCCATGTAATTACACAATTTACACACACACACATATATATATATATACATACATATATGTATAGGTGGAGGTTTAAACGAGAAGATCTGAAACGTAAAAAAACACTCTTATCACATATGATAATACACATGAGGGATCAGACGACATGTCCTGCAACTTAGGTCATACCAAAGATTGTTTTTGTGTCTAACTTAGGATCACATTAAAAACATCCTTATTACATGTTATAATATATGTGTGGGTCTAGTAGTGTACGGACGACTTGACCTGCAACCAAAGGTCGTCTGCATCTCTAGTTTAATATCACATGTGTATCATATATGAGGAAATATAGTATTACATGAATTGATTATAGTAAAAGCCGTTCTCGTGTTCTTGTTCTCATTTGAATGATTCCCTACACACACATACGTGCAGGTTCACTTGGCAATCAAGGGAATGTTTACACTAGTAGGCAGTTAGCAACGGATTTACCGATCAAAAGGTCATTTATGATACATTGGATTATTACTTGTCGCATTTAACAAAAAAAAATTCCGATCCTTATCATCCAATGTTATTTACAAATTATATTTGACCGTTGCTTATTGATAGAAAAAAAACTATAAGACATTGTTTTAGAAAGACGAATCCTATTCATACCCTCTTATAAAGGTATACAAGTGAGATCAGAGGTAAGAACTATGAGTATGTGAATGATGCAGCATGAATAACAACCCTTTTAAAAATGATTGTTATTGAGATGTTGAGTAAAAAACGTGATAACGTAAAACATGTTTGGTTTTATAATAATAATAATCCTTTTATAGTGTTTCAGCATAGTTCAATTAAAAAAAAATGTCGGTGTAAAATAGATAAATTGTTGCCTCTAGCGTGTAGCTCAGTTGGCAAAGGTGAAACGACTTTGCCAAAATACATAGGTTTGATCCTAGATCCCTGTTAGCCTCGTCCACTGAGTGAGCCAAAAATGTCCCCTCATATTGGTGTTAACGGAAGCGGGTTTTTTATGGAATGGATTGAGGTTGTCAGTAATCAACTTTTTGTCCAAAAAATTAATAAATTGTTGACGAAAATAATTACATTCTAAATAAAATTACGTCATTTTTAATGCTTAGCTTGTGGGTGGGCTTATGGCAAAGTGTAACAAACATCGTAATTGCTGGGCTGGGCTAATTAAGCTGATTTATCGTCTTGTGTTTATCCAAAACTTTGGCATAGTTCTTACAGTTCGTTTATTACAAATTTCTCCTTTTTTATTATGGTTATTTTCTTTGTGGCAAATGGCTATTAAAAGGTCGGCAAGTCACCCCATGTGTCTAGCAGGGCCGTCCTCCACAGACGCACGCCCTAGACCCAAAAATATCAGGCCCAAATTTTTTCTTTAAAATACAATAGTAGTCTAAAAGAATTTAATAAATTAAAGAAACCCAAAAAATTGCAGCATATGATAAGAGGGGAAAAGAATTTAGTAGATAATAAGAGCCCAAAAATATATCAACTAATTACATTGGAGAAGAAAAAAAATTAATTGGTCATTTACTATATGCTATTGTTTATTGTCTCTCTATTTTTCTTTTCCAACAAAGTCAAATTATATTGGTTATTGTTATCTCTATATGTTTGATTGTTTTCGTGCTTCAACAATTCAACGTTAAAATCATGTGCTTGATATTGTTATATATTTTTGTTGGATATTTTTTTATTAATTTTTGTACTTCTATTGACTATTGCTATTTTGTTATATTGTTTTAATTGTTTTTGTTGACTATAGTTATCTATTTTTGCTTCTACATAAAATATTTACTATTTTTTGACAAACAATCTATTGTTGTTATAATTTATGACATGTTTCATGATTAATCAATAAATTTTTTCTGCTAAATGTATTGAGTAATGTCTTTGATATATGTCATGTTCCATAAACCTTAAACCTAACATCTTATTTTAGTTGAGCAATAAAAAGGAAAATAGAATTTAAATATTTTCATCAATTGTTTGACTTATGTATCTTTTATTGTGATTCCACCACACCACAAGATTATATTTAAGTGCTCAAACAATCATTTGTTGAGCTTACATATTATATGTTTAATTCATTATTTATTCTTATTGAATCTCAATGGATCATTTTTTTCTTTCATATTTTTATTGATCCTCATTTGTTTGCTTGTTTAGAAAACATTGATAATTTTATTTATTATTGATCTCTCATTGACCCTTACGATTACTTCATTCACACGAATTATCTTTTTGTATCAAAATAACACATTTTTTTTTGTTATAAACTAAAAAAATTCTTACTTTCTATAAAAAATTATCAACCATAGTTTCTATACTCTTGGTTTCAAATTACCTAATAAAAAGTACATAAATTTAAGTACTCTCTTATCTATAATAAAGATAAATAAGATTTTTTTCCTCGGTAAATTATTAGCATTTTCTGTACTTAATTTTATACTAATGAAAAACATTTATTGATTTTTTTTTATATTTACTGAGGGTCACTACAAGAAAAGTGAGTTTTGACGATGTATCTTTTAGCGATGACAGGTTTTCACCACAAGTTATAGCGACGGCATGTTGTTGTTATATACTCTTTCTGATGATAAATAGACTTTTAACGATGACAAAAGTCGTTGCTAAAAAGCCTTGTTTCTTACAGTGAACCATGTTTTTACGTTCGTCCAGGGCCTATAAAATGTCAGGAAAATGGATTCATGAACGCCAACGCACCATTCTATACACCTCCCTACATGAACGCCAACGCACCAATCACCTGTCGGCTCTCCTCTCCCAACTTCGACACTCTGTTTTGACACCCCCATTGAACAATCCCTGAACCACCACCCATCCCCTCGTGACAACTTCGATTACCTACGACACCCCTATATCCAAAACTCAACAAATCAACCATGAAACCCGTTTTAGGTATGGCTTACAATGTACCGAATTGGTAGATTAGGTTTTAGTCTTCAAATATGCATACTTGTTTAGCATCGGTTTTAGTTCACACGGATTCATGTTCTATTTCATGTGTACAACGATTTAAAATAATGAAAACTCGATCCCCCACTGAATTCAAATAGAGGTTTTGAGTACTCAGATTCTTCTCTTTAATTCCTTTGTCACGTTGAAATGTTGTAACCCATTTGTTTCAACAACTTGTTTCCAGTAAAACGGTTCTACCTCCACTTCCAATTATTCTACCCAATGTGTATGCTCGTGTTTTCGATTTCTTTATCTGTTTGTGCATGTGTGTGTTTATGGAGTATGTGGCGGTTTACGTCAACAATGGTAGCTTCCCAGGGGAAAAGAACAAAATGAGCTTGAGATAGGGATCCCGACCACGTGGGGTCACTTATCGGGCCCGTTATAGTGCTAGAGACTACATTCAAAACAAAATCTAAAAAGAAAAAAAAGAAGTTTATTTTTTTAAATCCAATTTAGCGTGACACGTTTCAAATTAAAATTTAGCTCGATTTCATTTTGAGTTCGATAAAAAAAGACCGACAAACATCATTTTCTAAGGTTTTTTCTCTTACTCACAATTTGTTATCTTCGTTGTGACAATCAGATTATACTCATTTTGTTAACTACAAATCTTCAACTTAGAATATTTGAACGGAAAAACTATGTTCAAAACAGACTCATTTAATTATTTAGTTATCATTTTCTGAAACGTAGTTTCAAATGACACGTTTAAAGCATAAAAAGTGTATTTAACTGTTGGTAGTTTGAAAAATTGGAAAACATAGTTCGAAATGAATGTCAAAACATATACCATTGAATAATCAAATTTAAACCATAGGCATTTTTAACGTGTTTTTTTTCCTAAAATATTTTAACCAAAAAAGTTGAAAACCCTTAGCTCGGGGTAGCTGAACTGACAAGACACTGTATTTGATCAAAAGTGGTCTCCAGTTCGAGTTCGCCCAAAGTCTTTGGAGATTTATCTGATAATTAACTTTAAAGCCTCAAAAGAACAGTTAAGATGCATGTAAGTTTGTACAGACACCCATCGGCCACAGTTATAAAAAGAACACAACTGAATTTAAGTACATTCATTTTATACGGGGGTTGATTCTTAATATATTTAAAAGGCCTGGTTTGTTTCATCTGGATGGAATCCGCACATTTGCTTACTTGGTTCGTTTTTATATTTTGTGGAACTTCTTTTTCGTTTTTAAGTCATGACTTTTGGGTTTTGAAAAGTTGTATCATCATATCGACAGAAACGTGATTATGTTTGACAAGTATAAAGTATGTTGTCATTTTATTGATAAGAAACTYGTCATTTTCATCTCTGAAATAATTGATTTGGTGTTTACCGCTTGCTTGTATGATTACGTATCGGAAAAAATAGTGAAATGAGATAAATTAAGAATGAAGCCGAAAGTCAGATCAAGATATTTAGTTTTTTTATAATTTAAGAAGTTAACTTTCGGCATAATAATTTTATATGAATAATATATCGTTAAATTATAAAATAACAAATAAATGCGTCTATCAAGAAACCTTTAAATATAAATACCATGGTAGATTCCTCTTTATATTATATAAAGTTGAGTTCATGTGAGAAGCGTATGAATAGTTCTCCACCATTAGATTAATCATAATTGAATGTCAACATTAATGAGACGTATCGAGATGTACCAGATCAATTTCTTTCTAAAGTGCAATTCATGGGTGAACATGAGATTAAAAGTGATTAATGGTTCAGATCTTTTCTTATGCTTCTCACCATAATTTCCCTTTTCACACGATCTTTCGCATATACACACATACATACATACACCATGGTAAATCCCTCTTTACCATTTGATATTTAAATTTATAGCTATTGATGATACAGATTTGCTGAGAAGATCAACTCGATTTCACAACAAAG